AAGATGTTTTTGTATTGATTATTATGGCGAGAAACTAGAGGATGACATTGGTACAATGGCTAGTCCGATTCTATTCTTTCTCCATTCAAACTGGATCTGTTTTTTAACAATTGCACAATGGAAGAAGACTTACTTGTATGTAAGTAGTAGCAATGTTAGCTTGTACCATCACTTGGCAATGGCCCAGTAGGGAGCATGACTTTATATATGGGAAATTTAGGTTTCATATGGAGCCTCCTGGACCAGAGCATACATGGGTGTTAGTGATGCATTTAATTCACTTGATTAAAGCAGTACTTTAATAGTCCACGTCTAACATCTGCTTTTATAACAGATTTAAACTGTAATCTGGCTTTACAATTTTCAGTGCAATGCTATTAATCAGACTTCTGAAATTTAAGAAACTAAGTACTAACTTTACTATATAAGATTGACGTTTCTGGTTATCTTGTTCTTTAATTTGACCAACCTAAATTTTCTGTTGTATGACTGTTTCTTCTGCCCATTGTTTGTTCTAACTATGAAAGATCGCATTTTCTTTGACTCAAGGGATTACTTTGTGCTCCCCAAATTCCTAGGAATCACTCTAAACATATTGATGACCTACCAACTTGTGGGTATAGTCATTAAGGCATCACTGCTTTCAGTAATTCCTTCTTGGCATTCGAGTACCAAAAGTCCCTATATTGATCCATTGAAAGTTGTAACAAAATGGACAACCAATATAATGATTAATGTGAGCTTCTGATTATTACAATACATACCCATGCGTAAGAGGACCATCCAAGAGTTAAAATTTGTAGAGACACTGAAGAAACCCTGAAAATGATATTCATAAAGCTCTTTTATGAGATCAGCCTTCACTGTTTGGGAGACCACCATCACTGAATATATGAGTATTGGAGCCTCTATTTAAATCTTGGTGTTCCCTGTATCTATGTGACTGAGCACAAGAGCAACAGAATGTAGAACTTCTGATAATGGTGCTGGCATCAATCTTGGTCCACTACATTTTGCAGTAGGACACTGGCTGAAACATTACCTGTCAATGAAGTGTATAGACGCTTGGTCCATATGACACAAATAAAAAGACAAGAGGAGAGACTAGGACAAAAATGTCCAGTCCAAAGCATACCAAGTTATCTGCCAGTTGTAACGAAATTGAAACCAGTGTAATGAGCAGTGTGACCTCTGTTGAGTCTATTAAACACACAAGCCTACGAGGACTATCCAAGAATAAACCCAGAAAAGATTTTCACTTAGCTTTTCTATGAAATCGGTCTCCGTTGTTCAGCAGAACACCAATGTAGATATGTACATTGGAGCATTTACATGTTTCAATAGACCACTGATTGAATACACAGCCAGCCAATGAAGTGTATGGAGGCCTGTGCTACGTGATGAAAAAGAAGAGGACAACAGGAAAGAGCAGAACAAGAATAACCAGTTAAAAGCAGCCACAGAGGTTTTCCAGGTGTTTGAGTAGTTAGCTAGAACCAAGTGAAATTTTACAAAGTTGAAAGAAATATTTACTTGTTTGATCATAGGATAAAACTGCAATGATTTTGCATAGTTACCTTCTGTCTTCAGTAACTTTTGATAGTCATTAGTGTTTTTTACATTATCAACAAAGAAATTTACAGGAAGAAAACTATCTTTTGATCTTATTAGCCTCTGAGGGCTATCAGTTTTACATGATACTTTGGAATTTACGTATGTAACTTTTCAACTTAATGAGATAAAACATGTTTGTTTCAAGTGGCTCATTGGTATATCTTTAAGCTAATAACACTCAAAATTGGGTTTCGATACCCAATGGGGTCACAGCACACACACAGTCCATTGTGTAGCTTTATGATTAAGTACAAACAAACAATAAAAAAAGAGCTTACCGTTTCTAAACATATAACATTACGAAAATTGTAAACTGTTAGAAATACTTTACCATAAAACAATATAAAAGTAAAATACTAGAAGGTGTTACTTTAACCCTTATGAGCTGTCGAGTGCGACCCTCACACTTGCACACACATCACCTTTCAACATGTAATGTAAAAAAATAATTCTACCTTTATTTCAAAAATGCTTAATCCAGAAATACTTTACATCTGATAAGTTTTCATTTTTTCAAATACTTGTTTGGTGTTATTCGCAAAGAAGATTTAAAAAATGTTTGTTTGTTTGTTTGTTTTTAATTATGCACAAAGCTACACAAGGGCTATCTGTGCTCTGCCCACCACGAGTATCGAAACCCAGTTTCTAGCGTTGTAAGTCCGCAAACATACCGTTGTGCCACTGGGGGGCTAAAAAATGTTCCAATATTCATTTCTATGCAGCTCCATCACTTCAAAATATAAACAGAGTCTGGCATGGCCTGTTGCTTGGAGCATGCTCGTCCTTTCAGCCATTAGGAAGTTATAATATGACGGTCAATCCCACTATTCGTTGGCAAAAGAGTACCCCAAGAGTTGGCGGTAGGTGGTATTGACTAGGTGACTTCCCTCTAGTCTATCACTTCTAAATTATGTAAGGCTAGCGCAAATAGCCCTTAGTAGCTTTACTCGAAATTTAAAACAAGCAGAAAAATCAAAATATAACTATTTATATTTTGTCTTTCACGTGATTTTTCTTCTCTAGCTCCCCCTGTGGCTTAGCGGCAAATCTATAGCTTATAATACGAAAAATCAGGTTTCGATACTCGCGGTGGGCAGAACACAAATAGTTTATTATGCAGCTTTGCGCTTAACAGCAATAACAGAAAAAAACCTTTTCTTTAAGGTTTAATTTCTAAAACCCTTTGTTATCACCCTTTTATGATATCAATATGTAGTGTAAAGAAATAATTCTTAATAAACTCAGTTTCGAAAATATTACAGACAGTTTTTACGAAGATCGGATAATTAAACTATTTATGTCGCATTAGAGTAAATAAGGGAAGTTTAGATGAGTAAGAGCCCGTCATGGCCAGGTGGTTAGGGCACTCGACTCGCAATCTTAGGGTCGCGTGTTCGAATCCCTGTTACATCAAACATGCTCGATCTTTCACCCGTGGGGGCGTTATAAAGTGACGGTTTTGGATTATTTTTAGTTTTTCAGACGTCCCTTAAAGTGCTTTTATGTTAAATTATATCTCTTTGAAAGCTACAAAAAATGTTTTTCTATTACAAAACAACTTATGGCAATATATTGAAAGCTACACTTCCTGACTTCCATCTTGACCAGTATGACGTCACTCAGACATCACTTTATTTCACACTTTGCTCTACACGATGATTTTCTCCTGAAGAAGAAAGGTCTACCTTTCGAAAGCGCTTGGGTGATTTTTATATCCTTATCTGTCTGTAAGTGTTGCTATCAATATTTATTTTCCGAAATCTGAGAACGTAAACTTTGCTCGTTAATAATTAAATTTAACATTCTTAAAGGGATACAAATATAAATAAGGTAAACAGGCAACTCCCCAGGTAATGATCTTTGTTGTTGTTTTCATATTTACAGGAAATGTTTGTTGGTACTAGAGCAAAGCCACATTTAGCTATCTGCTGTGTCCATCGCGGGGAATCGAACCCTGGATTTTAGCGTTATAAGTTCGTGGACTTACCGCTGTCCTACTGGGAGACTATGAGAAACTAACACAATCTATTATCCAGAGAAGATTCAAAATAATACTTGAAAAGGAATAATAATATAGGCAATGATTTATCCAGAAGTTAAGCTGTATAATGCATTACAATTACACACCTTAGCTTCATAGAATGTAATATGGAAACACTCTTCAGAACCTATTTTGTTCACTTTTTTACGAACAAAATGTATTACAGTGTTACAAAATATGCTGTAACATGCTTGATGGGCAGTCTTATGTTATGTAATTTCACTCTTGGGTTAATTTTATACATAGTAGTATCACTTTTGATCAATGTTTTCAGTGTCAGACGTTTTGGATCAGTATTATACAATGTTTTTGCCACTGTTATATAATACAATAAAAGAAGGGCAGATATATAATTGATAAGCTATACTGACAAGGTGCTTTAACTCCATAGGGTATCGGTAGTTTCATCTGGAAAGATAGCTACGTGACGAAGATAAGGGTATCCCCTATTATTTATTTATATTTTGCCTCGCTTGTCTTAGTCGTTTTTTTATTTACTTCTGTGCACAGATTGTTATCCGTATTGTCAAGAAACCAAATATTGTTACTCAAATAAAACAGTTTGTTTTTAGAATATAGAAGAGAAAATAATATGATATTTCTTGTGCATCTGTTCGTTTTTGGTCTTAGATCTACCATCCCAAATAATAATAATAATGATAAATAAAAACAAAACTAATGATTTAACAATGTTTAGTTTATAACAAATGTGTCTCTTTTATAGTACCTTGTGAAATGGTCTTTTCTTTCTCTGGAATATTTAATTTTTAGTTATATACTCACTTCTACGTAGTATGAAATAGTAATAGTATGAAAGAAAATTGCAACTTTTGCCTTGTTCGACTGGCAAGTCAAATTCTTCAAGGTCTTTTCCTTGGCAAGAGAGGCTAAGACCGTAAAACAAATTCACTTCGACTGAGCGTTATTTCTCGGAAATTATTTGTTAGTGAATTTTTTTCGAGCGTTATGCATTTACATTGGAAGAATATATATTAAATATTTATCTCAAGCATCGCGAGTAGCCAAGGTAACGTATTTTTTGTACACTTCTAAACTGCGGGGTTTACAGCAAAGGCAACTGATAATAATTTATTTCCTTAACAATGTTATACTACACAATTGTCTGCAAGATTTATTGATCCTTAAATGCAAACTAGAATAAAATCAGAGCTACTTGACATTTAAGTGTCACTTTTTTATCCTCTAAAGAAACCATTTTGACAGGTTTTAAATTTAATATACAGTTTTCATGTACAATCAATAGAACAGTGAAGTTAAGAAATTGCAAAATTCAACCAACAACTATCTCGGTTTTGGTTGTTTAGATGCTTTTTTTTAAACACAGGTTCAGTTAGAGAAGTCCAAGAAAAGGAAAATCTAGAAGAGGAAGGTAATAAAATATTTTATCTGTTAAAGACTGTACTAGACCAGCTAACTATGTTAATCATTGTTGTTGTTGTTCTTTTTACCTCATTCAACTGTTTCTGGTTTAAATTTATTTTAATTTATATATTTTTATAATGAGCAGGAAATGTAAAATAGCCACTATTAAAAGTATTGAACTAATAAATAGCTGACACAGGTTAATTTCATACTGGTAAATTTGCAAAACAGAGATTACATATTGTAACGTAAGCTTATATTAGCTTTTAAAACACAAAATATAATTTTAAAAGAATAATCTCGACCAATAACTCCTCTAACTCTCCTGAATAAGATGATAGTAAGTTCTAAACCATAAGAAATTGAACAACTATAGATATCTTAATACTTTCTCCATTCCTTTTTTTCCATTTTTTTTCTGTGTATATATAAAGTAGTATCAGGCAAAAGTGGTCAAGACCTTTTGGATAGCCTTTACACGGAGATTAGTTGACTTCCCAATAAAACAAAACAATTTGTACAGCCAGATAATTATTTCACTAAATCCAACCAAAATTAATTTATTTTCTACTATTCCTGATTTATTTTAAGCTCTCACAGATTTCTGTGAACATAACCTTAAAGAAAAGAAAGACATTACCATCATTTTTGTTTCACTTGATGAAATGTAAAATTATACCAATTTGGTACCTTACGTTATTGAAAATTAGACGGTGGGCTAAGTGCATGTTAAGGCTATTTTTTCTAAACGTATAATACTTAAATATTATAAACTTTCTGTATTTTTATTACTTGCAAGAGATTTTAATTAGCATTTTTCAGATTGTTGGATTATTTGTATTCTCATTGTTTTTATTGGCTTACGGAAGGGTAGGATTTAAATAGCTTCAAAATTGGGATTTATATATGTTTCTATCTTTAACCATACATTTGTTTTATGGTTTTGTCCATAACAATATAAGGTGAAATGAATTTTGTTGTTTAGCCTCCATAAGCTTGAATCAAAAACCAGGAACTGATGGAGAAAGCAAACAAGGGAAACAAGAACCTGAACCACTGAATATAGCGAAACCTGGAATTTCTTCAAAGGAAGACGAAGGACACAACAAAACAGGAAACGACCCTGAAACCCAAACGAAGCAGATCCCTTGTGATTGTGAAAAAAGATACTTTAAGCATTACGAAGCAAAGAATTGTACTCCAATCTACGACCAACGAGATGCATGTAAATGTCCAGAAAAGTTTCAATGTCTAGCTGCCAACGAAGAACAGCAAAGTTTACAAGGTAGTTTTAGAAAAAGAACAAATAATTATTTATTAAGCTTTAAATGTCAAGCTGTCACTGAACAATAGCACAGTTCAGAAGGTTTATTTTAAAAAAAGAATATATAAATGTTTAATAAGCTTTAAATGTCAAGCAGCCAATCAATAACACAATTCAGAAGGTATGTTTAGTAAATAAGCAGATAAAACTCCACTGAGATTCAAATGTCTAGCAGCAAGTGAGCATCAACACAGTTCGAGAGCTACGTCTAAAAAAACAGTATATGTAAATGTTTTAACAACCAGAAAGTAATCGTATTGGTCTATAATTACTTTTTGTTTTGGGATTCGTTTTTGTTGTCTTTGTAATAAAAAGCTACACAATGAGCTATTTTCATTTTGTTTACTACGGGGAGAGTTGAAGCCCAGAATTTAGCGTTGTAAATTCTCAATCTTACCGCTAACCCACTGAGTGACTTTTGTTTTGGCAAGTAACCATTAGTCCCAGAAAGTCTCTTTTTAGTTCTAAAGTAACCTTGTTACTATTGTATAAACCATATTAAATATAAACATAGTTTCATCATATTATAGTTAATTATAAAAATGGTTGATTACGTTATAATAAAAGTATTTTGGAGCATAACCACATTTTTACAGTCGATGTTTCCACATTCGATCATGCTCTAGCTGACGACCGCAATCTTGAAAATAGCGTTGCAGCGTAGTTTATATTGCAAAAGGCTCATAAACCTATCATATCCAAATCATTCTTATTCGTCTGCAGACTTTCCCTAATCCACCTACTGTACGAGGACGATGGTTCTCATCATCGATTTCAACATTCTGATCACACAGAAATCCATAGTAGCTGCATATGGCAGCTTTACTGCTATATTTTTCTATTGAATAGCATGGATGCCCATTTCATTTTTCACCTGCGTGAAGGTTACGCAACAGGTTAACGGGTGGTATTGACCACACAAATTCGGTATGTCTGTGTGGCACAGGGATATCAGAACATTGATCTGATAGTAATCAGAGTTCACCTTGACCTTTCTCTTCATCTCCTGACCCCAAACTTGCCCCTGATGCAGTATCAGAGATGATCATGAAACCGTTAAAAAAGGTTCAGTGACATGTCATGTATCACTTTTGAAAACTTTTTCACACATGGGCTGATACAAAATGGCACGAGACTTGTTACAGTTATTAAGGTAGGAACGTGATTCATTGAGTGCCACCACGTACTGCCAGTTTTCTCTGGCTGAATACAGTTCACACAGTTGGTCTTTCCTTCCTGGATAAGTCGTGAAAAAACTTGTGTACACGTGACTCGTGTCTCTTTTTTTTTTCAGACAGAGATCCTTCTTAGTTATGTTGTATACTGTTGTCTGGGGCATACGGACGACTCTTGCCACTGAATTTTGTATTCGTGTATTCGCACTCGTTACAAGACGCCACGCTGCTTACCAAAGCTGGGGTAAGATTTGTTTCAACTCTTTCTGAGTGGTCCTGAAACCTCAGTTGATCCATATCCTTTTGTTTTACAGGGATACTCTTACCTAGAAAACTACAAATCCCCTATATTAACACATCTTTATGATTTATATGTATAAACATTTTACATTGGAAAGGGCTATTAACTCTCCAAAACACTATGAGTGACGTCACCCTAACTACGGAACGACAAATAATGTCAAAATGTAGTTCTCGTAGATTCCGTTCCACCACCACTTTATATTGGCCAGTGATGTCACATGGCTTGCTGATTTCTATATTGAAAAATCGCGTTAATAAAGTCTGTTCAATTCTCTGTACTAGTATGGCAGGGATGATGAATTGGTATACTAAGTTATAACGAGTGATTTTAGAAGAAGATGTTTTAAAGATATATTTCATGTTTTAGGATTGTTTAGTGACTCTAATATTCATTATGAGGTCTGAAAATGCTAGATTAAGGCATTATTAAAAATTTCAGTTCTAAAGAATTGTTATTGTATCGAAAAAAATCCCTTTGTTTAACTGTGATGATATAGTTGTAGAATGATCCAGCTATGTTAGAAATAGTACAACTGTTATAAAAGTGATCCTCAATTGAATATATTGGTATTGTAATTTAAATGCATACAGAGAGTATCAATTTTTCCATTTGCATTGCAATTATAAGGTTATAAGTTATAATGATTTTTGTACAAAAGTTTGCTATTAACCCTTTACTAGATTGTGATTATTTATTATGGATTATTGTATTTTAAAACTACTTCAGAATGTAAACGTCCATATGATATGCGAAATTCAACAAAGGTGGTTTCACATGGTAATTTTTAAATTGAACTTTGTAAGAAGACCTTGAAAATCATATGAAATTATATTTTACTATTTGTTTAAAGTGTGCTCCTTTCGAGGAAAAACTTATCAGCTTGGGCAAGAAATCGTCGTTACTGATCCATGTCGAAAGTGTACATGCCAACAAGGATATACTCCTGAAGATGGCGCTGTTTTGGGTTGTGTCTCGGTTGATTGCCCAGAACTACTCTCGCCTCCACTTAAACCTGGATGTTACCATATTTACGATAAAGAAAGTTGCTGTTCTGTCCGTACAGCATGTGGTAAGTTTTGTGATAAAACAATGTTTCTTTGATGATAACATTAATACTTACATTTGATGAAAATAGGAACAATCATTTTTAAGTTATGCAGAAACGTTATCTACGATCCCATTTACTAACGGTGTTGTAAGATGCATATATCAGCAAAGATCATGACAGTTGTTTTGTAATTTTGTATTGATAATTTATTGAATAATCCATTTCTCTTGCTTTGATTGCCACGCAAACACTGAGTGGTCACAAGTAAATAAACACCTAATTTTTCGTCATTTAACTGATTTATGCTAACTAATTTGTGTTCACAGAGCACTATATAAATGAAAATGGTCGGCACACTAATTATATTGTGCTACAACATGCTAAGAGCTCAAGGTTCTCTCGAATTGTCAGATTTTCTTAGAGGAAGGATAGTTGGTCAAGCAGATGGTGGAATAAGTCAGCGGC